TTATTATCATCATCTCACCGTTCCGGTCGGCGTTGAGGGAAGTTTTGTTCGGTGAGGGTGTCTCTTACGGGCGGGGGAGTCAGTTGTATTTTTCCTGTTGTGAGAGGGCTGCTGTTGTATGTAGGAGTGCGGAAAGAGGGAAGTCCTCTGTTTCACGGCTGGGCTGCTGGGCAGGGAGGGGTGACCGGGTCTGTTTACAGCTGCGGGGGGGGGTCTGATGTCACCCAGTCCTGGGTTCATCACGTCACCAGACCTCACACACTCCAGCACTGCTCAGCTCACTGATGACAAAACCCCGCTCTGACTCCCCCCCTGTGCCGGTGACTCAGCACTGGCAGCATGACTGTGCAATTTGTACCACACGCCTACACCTCTGGAGACGAAAGCCCCTCCCGGCAACGTTCCCTGAATTTCCTTTGACGCCCTTCAGGCTCCTGGGTGGGGTGTGCGGCTCGTTGGAATTAGAGGATCGATTCCCCGTTTGTGAAATCCCGGGTTCTAAAAAACAGCCTTTCCTTTCCTCCTGGAATTACGCTCTCCTGACTGATCTGTGTGTGACAAGCCTGTCCCTGTCCAGAGCTGCAGCGGTCCCGAGGGATCGGCGTTTGTCTGTGGTCCGAGTAGGGGTCCCTCCATGACGGCTCTTATTTGGCCAGGTCTCTCGGCTCTCGGTGCCACAGCGAGACTTTACCGATAAAAAAGGCGAGGTGCTGTTTCTTTGCGACCCGGTTGTGTGGACCGGCCCGGTACTTGTCGAAGCGCTCTGTGGGCCTCCTGCTCTGCCCGGTGTGCTGGGCCGGGCCTGTCCTCTGCAGTCAGGCAGACAGGAGCCCAGCGGGGGAGACGGCCCCATTGCACAGCAGTCTGGACTCCTGCTGACTTGGCCTTCTTGGGTTCTGCTCGGGCCTCCATTCTAATGGGACTCTCTGTGCCCCCTGTCAGAGCCTTTGAAACGGTTCTGGGTCAAACCACTGGGCCCCGTGAGGGGAGAGAGAGGAGGGATAGCTTCGACAAGGGCTTATTTTTCAGTACCGTACCCACCCTCCCTACCCACATCCCCCTGCCAGCTTTTTTGGTAAGTTTCCTCCCAAGCGCAGGGTGCTTGTAGTTTGGATAGGTTTGAAAACCACAACGCTACCCACCCACAGCAGAGGTGAGGCACAGGAAGAGGGCGTCAGTCACACTGTACCCCACCCCCTCGCCTGCGGGGACACACCCAGTTCTTAACTTGCTCTAAGTTACCCGTGTGCCCCCCAGCCCACACACTCACAACCCCCTGGCGAGAGAGACGTACCGACATGCGGAGACAGCCCTCTTGGCTCTCTCTCACACACCCTCCCCAGCACACACCCTCCGCTGGATGGCATGTGACTTTTTAATGACTGTCATGTTGGAAATGCAAACAGGCTCTTCTCAACTGGGCTCAGAACCCAGTACACGACCGGGTGTGTCTGAGCAGGAGTGCTGCAGGCTCTCCCTCTCCTCCGCCCCCCTGGTGGGTGGTATTCCTCTCCCCCCTCTGCAGTGCTCGCTCCGTCTCTGCGGAGGGTTCGCTCCCCTTCATGGCTTGTTAGGGGCCTGGTGTCCGATGTTTCTGCAGACACACGCACACAACAGAATCGCATGCTGCGGGTTCCCCCCAGTCATCGGTCACACACCCCGGGTGAGGACCACCGGGTGATAACACAACGGGAGGCTGTGATTTGCTGGGCTGCGGAGCAGGAAGTGGCGCAGGGATAGCGAGGCATGTCTGCTGGCCAGTCTGCGTGCGCGCCCGCGTGTTCGCAGTTTTTGTCCATGGAGACGCAGCCTCTTGCTGCTGGGGGGGTCACCATGAGGTGTTGATATGATTTGGGGGTGACCTGGCCTGCTGTCGCTGGAATCCAGCTGCGCTGCCACCGGACTGGTCACTGTGGGACTGGTCCAGCACACGGAGAGAGGGATCGGCTGCTGGAGATCAGTTAGCTGCCGTTTCTCGAAAGAAGCCCGGGTTTCTGCTTCAGCCACATGGGTTGCGGAGCTTGTTCCACACTCCCACCACCTTTCCTGTAAAGAAATATCTCCTCTTCTCAGCTTTGAAAGCTCTCTCGCCTAGCATCCACTTTTCTTCAGTGATCGTCCTGAAGACACCCGCTGGGTGGAAATGTTTCATAGTTTGCATTATTCAGTTTTTGCTGCGTCTGTATAGCCAGCTATTGTAAATACTTTTGAAGGTTCTCCGATAGATTCTTTTTTTTCTGCTTGCTATGAGTGAGTGTGGGAAATGCAGGTATCCTCTGGAGTGAGTTATCTGCGTGAAACTGTGACAACATCTGTAATGTCTCGTTAGACGTGGTTTTTGCTGGAGTCCCCTGTCTCTCGGAAGCAGTGTTGGCACAGACAGATGTCGGGGAAGGTGCCGTCTTTATCTGCGTCCCCACTGGCCGCTCCAGCTCTGCTGGCCCCTGTCGTGAGTTTACTACGCTGTGTCTCTGTTTCTCCTTTCTGCTTCTGGTCCAGCCCAGCCCAGCCCGGCCCAGCCTCTTGCATTTTAGGGATTCCTCTCATTCCCGGCCTGCTGACCTGAAGTTCCAGTATAACCTGTAGCCCCGGCTCTGTGACCGGGGCCCCAGCGGAGAGGGACAGTCCCACGATCACGATCTCTGCGCTCCGCGTGAAAATGTCCTCCCTCCCACCTCCCCCTCTCTCGGTCTGTCCCACTGTTCCCGTCCTGCTCGCTCTTCCCTCTCGTCTCTGCTCGAAGTTCCCTGTTTTTCCCTGCTTCCTTGCTGTAGATTCCCCGTCTTTCTCCCTTCCTCGAATGAAGGTCCCTCTCACTCTCCTCTCTCCCTCCTCGGTGTCCCCCCCCACCCCCCCGCCTTTCTCCCTCTTTCACTCTCTCGTTGCTTTGGAATCTTGGAAGAAACTGGGAAACACCCCCCCCCACCACCACCCCAAACTCCCTCGGGTTGAATTTTTTTGTGAATGGATTCTTTCAGAAACCTCGAATAATTCCAGCACCGAGCCTGCTCCGTGCGCTGAGGCTCCACTCGGAAAGATGTGTCTCTGATTTGTTCGCGATGGGTATACAGTAGGTGTGGGCGGAGGATATGGCTGGAAAACCGTGTTTGGCTTTGATTCAGTTCTGAGGACGACACATGTCGGCGCGTCCTGGGAGCTGTCGCTTCCTGGCCGGAGCTCAAGCCCGGGAACGGGGGGGCGGCGGGGGGCTGCGCGAGACCCGGCCGTTCTGGGGTTTCACTCCGAAGCCGGTTCCATGGCGGATCGAAGGTGTCGGAATATGACAAACGCGCGACATCATCCACCTGTCCACCTGCTCGCTAACCACTTCTTCCAGTTCAGGATAGTGGGGAGAGCCGGAGCCTATCCCAACATGTATTGGGCATAAGGCAGGGTACGCCCTGGATGGGACGCCAGTCCATCACAGGACTCCCACCGGTTCTAGTTTTTCCAGAATCTAGTTAGCCTACCAGCGTCTCTTTGGACTGTGGGAGCACCCGGAGGAAACCCACATGACCATGGGGGAGAACAGACGAACCCCAAGTCCAGAACTGGTCTCGGGGCCCCGGTGTGGTGAGGCAGCAGTGTGAGCCTCTGCACCATGGTGCTGCCAATCCACTCCGATCTTCAGACAGATGAAAATGATCGTTAATGGGGCTCAGTAGATACGGCAGAAGTTATTTCCAGGGGGTTTAGCGCCTGTGACAGAGCTCCCTGTACCCATCGGAGAAGAGTGGGAGCACGAACGAGACAGGGCTGCTTGCGGACAGTGAAGGGCAGCTGGTGCCGTCTGCGCAGCTGGGCAGCGGATTAGCGAGTGGGTGAGGAGACAGTGAACGGTGGAAATAGATTTAATTTTCTCGGGCAGGGGAAGACCAGAAGACAGGTAGCAGTTGGCGTTGTGAATAGTATTGCTGGGCTTTTTTAGATGCACAGATGCTTCCAGGAGGGTCTTGCGAGCGCTTCCAGGAGCGCTTGTCTGCAGTGCGGGGTTATCTGAGGCAGCCCGGGCCTCGGTGTGCGAGGGCAGGGCAGGTGGGGTAACTGGAGGACACAGACGCTGACGGGCAGGTGCTCCTGGGGAGGGGCGGAAGGAGACCCGCTCGTGCTGGCCAGCGAGAGGGAGGGAGGAGAGCCAGCGCAGGCCCGTCCACTCCACCGCGCCACCGTGTGGCCTGGCTGGCAGTGCGCCGGCCTTCCTGTAGGTGTGTGGGAGCAACAGCAGCAGGGGGGTCCCTCTGCTGCCGCAGTTGTGAGCAAGACCCTTCTGTTTCAGAACGATGAAGGAAGGAAGACCCTCTTCATGGAGAGAGGGGACTGAGTGGGGATCCCCTCTTCCCTGAAGGGAGCGTTCTGGGCTTTCCCTTCATGACATCATTTGGGACCCCAAAACCTTTTGCCAGTCCCGACGAGAGAGACTCCAACATCAAGTTGAGCTTTGTGTGTCCTGATTGGAGAAAGCAGATTATATTTATATACCTGCCCCTGATTTTGTTCATTTTTCACTGTGTCCAATAATCTCTGTGGCTGCAATCTTGGAGAGCTCTTCGCAAGGGTCGTGGGAGAGTGGGTACAAGTCCTCAGAATGAGAACGGTATTATCAAAGGGACTCCGATGGACTGTGTCACACTAGGTAGCGGAGCAAAGACCCTTGGGGCCCCAGTGTTATCCAGGGGAAGTGGGTTTAACAATTGTTTGCATTTGTATCCCAGTGTTTCGGCTCCCACGGCTCGTCACATCTAGGAGGGGAGTCCCTCTATCCCTCTCTGTAGTACAGGAACTGCTTTACACTAGTAGTGGTGGGTGTCTGGAGCACCCTGCACAGAATAGCTGGATGAGATTCTTGCACCTCCATCTACTAACACCCAAAGTGTGCAAGATGTGCTGAATGTCCTGTCTTGAGCCCTGCCTGCCAGTGAGGTGCTGTTTCTAACAGAGGTTATGCAGGAGCTGTAGATTCACTGCTAATGTTCTCCCATTTTCTGTGTCTTCTTTTGCAGAGAGAAAAAACAGAAAATTCAGGACATTAAAAATAATATTAAAGAAGCTATAGAGGTAAGTTCTCCGGGAGGGCTGGGCCTGCGGTGTCTGATGACCAAGGTGTGTGTGTGTGTGCGGGGCTCCCAGGTCTCTGCAGTTCAGCAGCACCTGCGGAGCTGGGAGAGGTGGTGAAATTGGTCTCCTTCAGACAGTAAAGAGCTGGTTTAGAGTCAGAGCTGTGTTGTGCTGAAAATCTGCAGAAGCTCCAGGACCGGAAAACCCCGGCGTTGCACGTGTGAAACTAGGGGTCTGGTTCAAGATCAGCCCAGCAATTCTGATGTTACTCGTGTCCTAGCAGAGAGATTAAACTTTCCTTTGTGACATTTGCTACAACTTCCTGCATTGAATGATTATATAGGGGTGTGGGGAATCGGTGGTCTAGACTAAGTGCATGACTTTGTAACACAGAAACAGAATGAAATGTCAGTCGTTTTGGTGCAGGCAGAGGAGAAAACAAAAAACAGAAAAGCTCCTTTGTGCGCATCATGGGGTTTCCTGGATTTGGTTTTTCTCAGTCCTCTGCGGGCGGATGTGAAAGTGCACCCTGACCTCTGCCCCTTGCTCTTCGCAGACTATCGTCACAGCCATGAGCACGCTGGCGCCGCCGGTCCAGTTGGCTTGTCCAGACAACCAGTTCCGAATCGACTACATCCTCAACCTAGCCAACCAGAAAGACTTCGAGTTCCCTACGGTGAGGGCTTGGTGTAGCAGGGCTCCTCGGCTGTTTGCGTAGGCACATCTACGACGCCTGGACCACAAGGGCAGGCCATTAGAAGGGCAAACAAAATACTAGGCCCCACGCTTAAACGCATAGATTTCAATCGGGGGTTATATTCGAAGTTTGTAACCCCCAGAAAGGCTTCATTTACATGTTTATGTATGATTTTGGTCTCCCAACTTGCAAAAAAGATATTGGTGTGCTGTAATTCGTACAGAGAAGAGCAACCAGATAAATTTGATGACGACGCAACTTTTTAGTCTTGAACCAAAATGATTACAAGGGGGCCCGATAGAAGTTTTCAGACTCCTGACATTGTCAACCCAGGTGAAACAGAGACCAGAGGGCCCCAGCGGAATCTATGTTGGAAGTGCATCTCATGCCGAGAACGGGAGGCACGTCTTTACGCAAAGGGTTGTGGGAGCGTGGAACAAGGTACCCAGCCACGTTGAAGTTGCTACCTCTGCTTCCCTCAAGGGACAGCTGGATAAGGTCCTTGGGTCAGTTAACCACTCACTGCCAAGCAGATCAAGGGCTGGAGAGGAAGCAGTGTTTTACAAGCAGACTTTTTCAGACTGCACTGCTGAATGCGTATTTAAAGCATGGTGACGTAACTGACAGAAAAGGAGGACGTGTCTTTCTCCACCATTGATTTCTGCTCTCGTTAAGCTCGTTAAGTCGGTAAACCCTCTTCTCACCTGGGGGGCCTCCTGGCGCAGACGCTGCCCTCCCCAGACGGCAGCAAGGCTTCTCCTGGCATCCCAGTGCCCGCTCATTAAAGAAAAGACTTTTGTGCTGAAGGAAGATAATAGCCCTAATGGCACTGCGCCGGGGCCTCTCCTCTCTCCCCAGAATGTCAGCCCCTTTTCCCTGTGCTGTGACAACCTGAGATGCGGGCAGCTGGGCTCCCGTGTACGCTACGTTTAGTGCAGTTATATTCTAGAGAAAAGTGAAAGCTGCAGCTGCTTGTTTTTATTAAGGTATTATATTATTGCAGCTTTTTGACCAAGGTCTTTTCCGGTGTCTCAGAAGCACATCTCCTCTTGCTGCGTGCTCATCGGAGCCTGTTTCTCTGGGACAGGTCATTGTGGGGCTTGACTGATAGAGACTGTGTCTGGGACACGGGGAGGTTTAATTTAGGAGAAAGGCGGTCCCGGGTTAGCGCTCTGAAGGGCTTGGGAACTCGGCAGTTTTTCCCAGGCTGCCAGCGTCTGTGTGCCAGGCCAGTCTGAGCCAAGGGGAAAGCTCCCACATCAGTTCCACACACTCCGGGCATCAGCCTGTCCCTCAAGGGTACAAACCAAGCTTCCCGCTGCATTTTACCAGGCTGATCCTGGCTGGTTTTCTGCACTGCTCCGATGTGTTTTAGTGCAGTCTGCACTACTCTGGTCCACATTCGTGTAATCTGCTTTTGTGCAGTTGGTACTACTCCATTCCCTTTCAGTGCAGTCTGCGCTATTCTTGTCTGAGTGAGTGCAGTCTGCCCTAGTGCAATTTGTTCAACTCAGTTCCCTTTTAGTGCGATTTGTACTACTTCATTCCCTTTCAGTGCAGTCTTCACTATTCCAGTCCGAGTGAGTGCAGTCTGCACTACTCTGGTCAATTTTAGTGTAATCTGCTTTGGTTCAATTTGTACTACTTCATTCCCTTTCAGTGCAGTCTGCACTACTCTTGTCTTTTTTAGTGTAATCTGCTTTGGTTCAATTTGTACTACTTCATTCCCTTTCAGTGCAGTCTGCACTACTCTGGTCGATTTTAGTGCAATCTGCTTTTAGTGTAAGTTGTACTACTCCGTTCTCTTTTACTGCAGTCTGCTCTGTTCTGGCCTGTGTTGGTGCAGTCTCTGATGGGTGAAAATCTTCAGAGCGTGGTCAGGGAAGTAGTCGGGCCACTATGATATCCTTCGGCAGGATGACTGGAGCCTGGCAACCAGTTGTCTCCCTGCCTGCCTGGGCCGCCACACCGCAACCGGTTGGGCTGGTTCAGCGGGCTTTGAGCTGGCACCTTCCAGGACTCACACACCCGGGAAACAAGGAAGTTGGGCCAGAGAGCGGGAGAGACACTTTGAGGGACTGGAGAGATGGGAGGAGAGGGACAGTGGGAGGAGAGAGGGGTGAGTAGGAAGTGGGGGGGCGGGCAGTGGCCGGTCAGTGGACGTCTCCAGGCGCCGATGGACTGATGGAGGAGATGTCATCTCAGCCCTTGACTTCAAACAACGGCAAAGACCAGCGGGAGAGAAAGGGAAAGGAGAAAGGCTGATGGGGAATTCTTTTCCCGTTTCTGTCTTCTGCCGAACTGTGTCGAGAGAGGGGTGCGCAGAGACACGGCACAAACCCATCAGCCTGTGCGTGTCCCGAGGACAACACCTGGAAACTCTTCAGCTCATTCTCTTTCTTTTTTCTTGAAAACGTAGATTTTTTTGTTCTTGCGTGTCTTGTGGTAATATGCTGACAGGCCAATGTATTAATCTCCCTTGCGGAATAATGCATTCGACCTCTACAAACAGCTTGAGTGGGATGTGGAATGCATTCTGTTGGGTTTTGAAATATTTGAGGTCCCGTCTCATCCTGTTTGTCCAGTGAGGACCCCTTCAGTTGAGGTTGGGATGAGAGTAATGAATTCCCTTCTGTTTTGTCCAGGTGTCGCATGGCAAATGCACACTAAGAGCATAAGAGAGGTAACAAGCGAGAGGAGGCCTTTTGGACCACCCTGCTCTTTGGTCAGTAGCTGATTGATCCCCGGGTCTCATCTGGCCTTTTCTTGTAAGAAGCCACTTGAGGAATGTGGCTGTGTAGATTGTTCCACACTCCCACCACCCTCGGGGTAAAGAGCCTCCTGTTCTAAGTTCCACATTGTTTCCAGTTTTTTTTTGTCTCCAGAACCCGAGCCATTGTCTAAATGGTTCAGAGCACATCACAAGGCCCATGATCTCAGCGGCAGGGTAATTGATTCTGTTCATCTGACACCGGGGGTTCTTCATGGTTCGGCATATAAACTGCACGTAACTGGCCGGGGAAGATGTGGATGGTGACTGGGAGCTTCATTTTCACACCACACCCCAGCTGTTACAGTGCGGGACTGCTCAAGGAGGGAGGGAGGGGGGGGGGCACACGACGAAAGGCGCTATATAGCAGCTCCTCACTGTGCGAGCACCGTGCCGCCCATGGCTCCCTGCAGTGGCTGAACCTCCTGTTCGTTGTTCTTGTCCGTATCCTCTCCTCCTTTGTCCTGATCTAAATATAACTCGCGCAGAGAGAGAGAGAGAGAGAGAGACCGCTGTTCGCCTCCCCGTGGGCAGATGGGATTGGATCTGGCACGCCGTTCGGTCCGCCCCACCCATCTCCGAAAAACACGGGGCTGCAGGATGGCGTCTTTCATGAGGCTGCACGCCACCGGAAAGCAAATGGATGTTTCATGAACCCCCAAAAAAAGCCCCCCCAGCTCGCCTCCGTGCCACTCGTCCTTTCTTATTGTTCTCGTATCCCCGCCGGGTCCTGTTTTGGATCTTATTGTACCGTGCTCAGGTCTCCCCGGGCCGGGCCCGTCCCAGAGCGGCGTTGTAGCAGGCGGGTCGGGCGAGGGGTCCTGCCAGACACTTCGTCCGGCGCGGCGGGCGGGATAGGCGCCGGCGGTCGTGGGGCTCATCCCGGAGTTCCAACGGAGGACCTCGCCCGTTCTGGAGCAGGGTGGTGGCGAAGAGTCCCCTGGGGGGACTGGGTTCGAGGCCCGGCCCAGCCTTGGGCTGCGGGTCGAGATGTCGTGTCGAGGGACAAGGCTGTCCGTGGTGCACGGATCCAGTCCACCAGGGCCTGGGTCCCGCAGGTTTACCGGATCTTTCCCTGATGACCGTGCTGGCTGAGCGCACGATGGAGAGGCCCAGACGTCGGGGTCCGATGGTCCCCGTGACCTGCGTGGGGCCAGGCTCTCGCGTCTCTGCACGCTGTTCCCATCGTCCTGCAGTTCGTCCGCTTTTCCCTTCCTTCTGAAGTTTTGCATCGTCATTCTCGGTAGCACAGCTCTCCCTCCTAAGTAAAATCTTGTCTGTTTTTTTATCTTAGTCCTTGCTTTTTTTTTTTAGAAGAAATAAAAAGGCCAACTTGCAGAGAGAGCCTGTGGACAGGAGGAACAATACTGTATTCAATCGCAGCCCAGTGGATTATGGGTTGGCTTCAGTAATGCAATAAGAAATTACTGCCCAATTTTTTTTCTCCTGCCTGTGCTGTAGATGCATGTGACTGGTTATAAATGAAGTCTCTGTTGCTGGGACACACTGTTCTTCTCCCTGGAGGGGAGTGTGTGTGTGCGTCTGTCTGTCCGTCTTTGGGAAGGGGTCCTCATAACATGAGCTAAAATTGCAGAGGGAGAGGTCTTCCTAAAGTTTGCAGCTGTTGAGCATGGCCCTCGCCACACCCTCCATTTACCATCATTTGAGGTCTGTCTCTGTCCCTATCTCTGGTGCTTTCAGTATAAAACTTTTCTTCGGTTGATAGCAGCCAAGAGCAATTTCACCCCTGCGGATTGCTCGAAACTGATAGCCTGATGAGCTTGTTCATTTGTTTTTCTTTTCCACCTGACGGATCTCTGCAGACGACAAACGGGACGCTCTGCAGACGTTGGGTGGATCTGCCCCCTGTGGGCTGATTGGGGCTGGCAGTTCCCAGGTCCAGCTCCACCGATGCATCTCGTCCACTCAGCTGGGTAGCTTGATCCAGACCCCCCAAAACCCAAAACCTTTTGTGCAGCAAAGTGCCTCCTGTTCTCAGTTTTAATTCACTGTCCCAAAGTTTCTGGTGAAAAGATCACTGTACCCTGTCGGCATGGGACGCCCCTTCAAGCACAGGACCGGATCTGTTCGCTCTCGTTGGAGTGACTTCGCAGCAGCAATATCCTCCTCTGTGAGGTGCCGACCGAACTCGTGCACGAGCCTCGAAATGCCAACAGTTTCATGTTTCGTGGTTTTGTTTTTAAGAGAAAGGATTTCGGTGCAGCCCGTTGTTGTGCCTGTGCTGAACACCTGTGTCCCCCCTCCCTCTCTCTGTCTCCCTCAGGAGTTTTACGAACACACGAAGATCCTCTGGCAGGACGAGGGTGTGAAGGCGTGCTACGAGAGATCCAACGAGTACCAGCTCATCGACTGCGCGCAGTAGTGAGTGATCGGAGCCATCGCCTCTCTCTCTCCTCGCCTGATGAGAGGCTAACGGGGGGGTGTTTGGAGTGTGTGTGTGTGTATGGGGGGGAGCAGCAAAGCAACGAGGCCTTAGAGAGCAGAACTGCTCAATGTGCACAAACCCCTCGGATTATTACAGCCTTTTGGTAGGTCTCTCGTCTGAATCTTGGAGCCGTTCTGACAGAGCCTTGGGGCTGGGCGTGGCAGTGGTTCAGCTGGGTCCTGCCTCTCAGGTTTGGCAGAGAGGAGCTGTAGAGCGCACTGTGATGGGTCCAGAGTCTCCCAAGGGAATCTTGAGTCCGTTACAGTCTAACGGGGGTCTCCGGTGGCTCCGGATTAGCATGCAAACAAATCCCAGGGTTCAGTTTTCACAGTGAATGGGAGGCCAGCCCTTGGGACAGTGTGACATCCGGATGGTGTTGGGGGAGACAGCAGTTAGTAACGACAGACTGAATTCTAGCCCCTGGACAGAAACAGGAGGACGCTACTGTTGTGCCCAGGACCTTGGACAGTGTGATGGGACTTGTGATCTGAATGCACGGACTTATGACCTGCAAGGTGCTGCAAACCGTGTGTGTATGCGAAATCGAAATGGAGTTTTAATGGGAGGATGAGGTGTTTTCTGACCGGGGCTGTGCCATTCGCTGTAGTTACTCGGTGGTGGAGTCGCACTGCCCTCACCCCTGTCCCTGCTGGTCTGAACTGTGTGCAGTTTCCATGGTGTGTGGCCTGCAGTGTGCTGTCCAGGTGCATCTCTGGTGTGCTCCACTGCTGGGACCTGCACTTGACTGACCAGTGGCTGGTACTGGACAGTGCCATGCCGTGGACATGGTCCAGCTGTATGAAAGGCCTGTTCTTCCTTGTTTCTGGAAGGCTTTTCTCCTTACTGTCCTCTCCTGGATTTATGTATTTTTGGGGGCGGCTGCTTTTGCGCCAGCTGAATCGTGAAACGGATCGTGATTTCTGGAGGCAAGCTGAAAGTATTCAACAGCAAAACTCCTCCCCACATCAAACAAATTCCAGCACAACGTCTTGCAATCTGTCACATAACTGCCCCCATCGCTGTTTCACCCAAGCCCAGCAGACCAGCAGAGGGGTAAAAGCACAGTATGGGGGTGCAGAAGAGCGCTTCAGTACCAGAGTTGGCGGCGAGTGAAATGGCAGGCAGTGAAGACAGGGGGCTGTAGGATTGTGAGGGTGGGGAGAGACCTGGTGGCCTCCCCTCTCATGGCAATAAGGCGTTCAGAAAAGACCGCTTGAGTCAGGACAGCAGTCCAAAGGTGGCTAGCCCAACAGAGCCTCTGCTTCAGTAGGTAGCAGGAAATGAGGAGAGACCCTCTTGTGGACAGCTTTCATGGCTATGTCATCACGGGTCAGCCAGAGCCTCGTAAACTCAGTGCGCCTTGTTCAGCATTTCTATTAAAGGCTTAAAGGCTTGGTTTGGCAGATGTATTTCTTGTATGTTGCAAACTATACAATATTGCAGGTGTTCTTAATGTAACATTTTCAGTGTCAATCCTTTTTGAAGAGGAGCTGTTTTTATTCTGTGGGTTCCTGCTTGTCACCTTGTTGCTCCACATGTTCACCTGTCCCGCCTTGTAGTTTTCCCCCCTTCCCCTCTCAGCCAGGTCTGCAGCAAAGATGAATTCAGAGCAGAAATGGGAAGGTTCCCTGGAACTGAAGGGAGGCAAGGGGGGGGTGAGGGCACAGCTGGCTTTAACACCCTCAAAGACTGCACCAGGCGCTCAATTTTGGTTTTGGTTTTTGGTCTTCCTGTCTGGAAAGTCCCTCCAGACGTCCCTCGCGGAGCACTGGGGTCGGCGCGCCGCAGTCTCTTTCTGTGAAGTGACGTCGGGGTGCAGTTTGCTGAGAAGCTGCCGTTTTGAGAGGTGGCCTTGTCGGCCCGGTGAGCCGCTGCCAAAGCTCCAGCAGAAACGCCCCGAGGGGCGCCCCTCCGGGGGCTCTCGCGCATGCCACTGTCCGCACAGCGCCCTCCGGGACCCGCCGCGTCTTCCTCGCTCTCTGGCGGCTCTCCCCCGGCGGGCTCCTCTCCGTAACGCCGGTGTTGACGAGGGCGGTACGGGCAGGGAGCGAGGTCTTGATCTGCGAGCTGTGGTGCACAGAGTGGAGCTCGAGACGGACAGTTTTAAAGCGCTCTGGCTTTCCTTTCCCTGCTGCCGGGGGGGGCGACTGTCTGCTGGGATTCCAGCCCTGCCGTCTGTGATCACACTCCAGTCACATGACAGGGGTGTTCAGGACAGGCGGAGGCCTCCGAGACCTGACCCAGAGTTGAGGGGAGAGAGGTGTTGGTTGCTGGACAGAGCCAGGGAAGGAATCCAGTGCACAAGAAAAGCCGTGCAGGGCAGGGAAGAGAATAGGCCAGAACCACAAAGCTGTTTAGAATTTGCGCTGCTTCTTTTGAGCCTCCGAGCAGGAGAGGTGGCATTCTGTGAACACCAGGGAGCAGGACACCCAGGCTGGAGCACTGTGGGATAGGAGGGGAGAGAGGAGCACAGCAGAGACGGGGAGAGGGAGGAGGGAGGGCATCAGGGAGAGGGTTTCTGTGGGGTTTGAGCTTGCTTCCTTCCCCCCTCTGACCCCCGCCTTCCTCCCAGCTCCTGCGAGAGTCACAGGCGGGTTTTCTGAGCCAGGGTGGAAGTGAGCCCCCTCCCCCACCGTGCTTGCTTATGTAAGGCAGGGAGAGCGCGCTCTGGGCTATTTATAGCTCCGCCGCGCTGCAGAAGGAGAGAGGGGGACAGAGACTCGCGCGGCGGAGAGCGAGAGCTGGCCGTGTTGTTTTTGTTTGTCTTGTTGGGGGTTGTGGGTGCTCTTTTCTGGTGGGCGGGGGGTTCACGTGCCAGTCGTGCAGTAAGAAGAGCTCTCTTCCCCACCAGAGAGGAAAAGTCCCGTTTCCTCTCTCGTTCCTCCATATTGCGCTGAGGGGGGGTGAAATCGCCCTGAGGCTCTCCCCTCGTTTCCGCCGTCTCCGCGGAGGGGTTCGGCGAAAGAAATCGGTCCCCTTGGCGTGGGTGCAGCCGTTGCCCGAGCTTCGCTTTCGCCAAACCCGGCGAGGAAGATGGACCTTCCCTCCAGACCAGACAGCAGCTAGCTCAGGAAGGGTCTTCACCCTCCTGTATGGCCTGATGCTGCCATTCCAGAGCCGTCCTTTTCTTTACAGACTCTTTATAGCATGTTCTCAAGAAGAGCTCATGAATGGGCCAGAACTTTGGGCGGTTCCAGACTTCTCTGTTACTAAACCTGGAGGGAGTGATCCCGTGCCCTGTGGTGGGGTGTAAAGTGTTTTGGGGGTTCCTGGGCTCCGGGCATGTTCTCCAGGGTCCGTCTGTGGGGGGTGGAAGCACCGTCTTTTTGGGAAAACATTCCCCACAAGTGCACGAGAAATTGTGCTACTCGCCCACCTGTGTCCAAGAAGCTAGAGCCCAGGGCTGAGGAAGGGCAGTGTTTTAGTCATCGGGGTGGGTATGATCCTCAGTGCGCAGTGGGCCTGCATCAGCACGATTCTCTGGCTCTGGTGTAGGGGGGCAGATCTTTACCAGGGAAATTGTGGCCCAGTGCTTTGAGCCAGTTCAGGTTCTATGAGGTGCAGACTCTGGTGATGAAACGGCACATTAGGTTTTGTTTTGTGTCTGCTTGTGGAAACTTTCAACCCGTCTTCAGTCATACTGAGACCTGTTCATGAAACCACCAATGGACAGCTCTGCCAGATGCTATCCTGTGCTGTTGTGCACGAATGCTGGTCAAGTATTTTCTTTCTGCGAAATTGAAGAAAGATTTAATATAAATGTGTTACGAGATGTTCAGGAGGGTTTAAATCCACCCTATCTCAGATGTGTTGAAAGCTTATACGGGAAAATGGTCAAGCAGATGTTCTGTGATTGTGGACTCGCTCAAATATAGAGGATCATTGTTGATTTGCTAAATCAGAAATTAAAAGGATATCTCCCACGAGCTGCATTTTGCGGATTTCCTTTGGTGTGCAGCTCGGACCTAGTCTCTTGTCTCCCGTGGTGTGCTTTCTCAGCTGGACCGTTCCGAAGGTGTCCAGGATGATGCTCGGACTGTCCCGATAATACGTGCACGCTGCACATCTCAGCCCTCGGCTCGGCGCCCCACAAGGCTGCGAGGCTGAGGCTCGTGAGGCCCTGCCCGCCCAGTGGGGCTCGGTGTGAGGGGCCCTGGTCCAGATGGGCTCCGCACCGGCCCCCGGACGAGAGCGTTATTGTTCTGGCTGTCGTCGTGGTTGCCGCCGTCGTTCTCACCTGTGCGGATCGGCAGACTGGGGGGCCGGGTTGCCATATTGTGACTGCCGAAGCATCCACCTCCCTCTCCTTCGCTCGCTGGCTCGCTCTCCTCCTCCTCCTCCTCCTCCTCCTCCCTGCGAAGAGGCAGCGTCTCCCTCTGCAGTGACAGAAAATGGCTGGATGTGAGTCACTGAGTCATCAGCAGCACGCGGGGAGCGAGCGAGCGAGAGAGAGAGAGAG